AAAACACCGAAGTATGTAACTATTTACTATTTAGGTAGGTACAAATAAGTACACAACGCTAACCTCAAATAATAGTAGCCGAGTTCGATTGCTAAAGTTGGCCCGTTCCGCAGATGTCTTCGCGTGTTTATTTATCCGACAATCAGGCCAGGCCGTAAGATATTATTAATAATTATTACCTACTAAGGCAATATTCTATGATTATTAATTATATCGAAAACGTTTAATTGGCATAGTATTGCTATACAATATTGCATGTTAATCTTCAAGCAATACTGGAAATTAAAAATATTTTGCCAATATTGTATTTGTATAGATACATCAATATTGGTCAAAAAAGCTATTCTAATATTGGAGTAATATTGGCTGATAATTGACAATATTGACCCAACATAAAAATGCTCTGCCAATATTGTATAAATATATACCCGATATATGATGCTACATGGGGTGGGTCAAAGATGTCATGTAAAATTAAGCCTCTTATTAAATCGTGATCCACATCTCCCTGATCATTTCGGTGCAGAAAGGCAGCTTCAATGTTTTCTTCCATCTTAGCCACTTTTTGTGTACTTAATAACAATTCAAACTTAAACTAGCTTTGAAACTTTTCCAAACAAAACGGGATAAGAAAACAATAAAGTAAGGTTTATTTTATTAAGAGTGCAACAAACGTGGTATCAAAAACTAAAAAACGCACTTAACGTTATTTGCCTAACCACCGTATTTTTTTAACACACGCATGATCAAAATAACGTTTAGCGTTTAAGGCCAACGTAATTTTAAAGGGAGTAAAAACTCTCTAATATAACAAAAATTTGTTCTACAGCCGGCAAATTCATGAGGAAGTAAGGTATTTTACACTTTGAACATTTTTGAACATTTGTTGCGCCACCAATGTTGGTTATGTATTTTATCTGCTGAACTCAAATCTAAGCAAAAAGGCGCCTTCGGATTATGATTTTCCGGAAAAATCGATTAAACTCCGAAAAACATAATTTTTGGTGGCAAAATGATAATTATTTTATTTTGTTGTTAAACTCTTCAGTATTCATTCATAATCTTTATTCCCAATCAAGAATCTATTTATAAATAAAATTAGTAAATAACAAATTCCTTTCCGATACTATTGCGGAAAACCCCAGAGAGTTAAGGATTTTTTGCTTGAAATTATTTTGACATTTCTCGGATGACCACTAGATGGCGTAATTGCAAACGGTATATTAAAAAGTCGATTTTATACAGAAATTGTCCCTATAAGTGAAACATATTGTAAGTTTAGTCAAAAGATCATAAAAATCGTACTACTTTCCTTATGCACTTTTTTCCTAACTTGT